CCCAAAGACTCCCAAGCCTCTTCATTAAGCAATGATCCTGAACATTGGTTAAGGTCCAGTTAAAGGTGCACTCGTGAAACTGAGGGGCCGTTTATGTTTCCTGGTTTGGAACAGAGCAGAATAAGAACAGGTGTTGAACTCCGAATTTGAAGCCTGCATACAGCCAAACCCCTCCAAGCTTTCGAAAACTCTGAACCCCGACCTCCGCGAAGGCTCCTTCAAGAAAACAAACCCAACCGTTTGAAAATGAAAAACTAGGGGTCCTGGCGATTGCCTGAACCTCCCAGATTGAACTCTTGATTCCGAACGCCCCGTCAAGGATACAAAGGCTCGGCCTGCGCCCCCGGGCCCTTCTCCCCTCGAACCCAAGGACACAAACTTCAAAGGCAAGAAGCGCTGAGAGCCAAAAACATTGCGGAGAGATTGCACGTGCTTCCAACGATTCAACCTGAGGGACTTGGGGCTTTAAGCTTGATTGCAAAATAATGCAAATAAACGTGCCAAGAAATGAGCAGAGGGCTCGGCATCCAAAGGGGGTAGGAGCTCGATTCGGTTCTAAGTTCGTGCTGCTGGTGCACACAAACATGTTGTTGCAGAAGGCATGATGTTGCTGCAGCCCTGTCCTTTCCATGAGCTCAAAAACTGCCAAAAAACTTGCACAGACATATGACTGTGTCTCACAAGTTTACAAAGATTTTAAAAAACACGAAACTCGAAGCAAAAGTGTTTTTGTCAGCAATACTCTAAATTCATATTTCGGTGTCTGTGCAATTGAATTTTCTGTTTTGACGACATCAAATAACATCAACTATGGTTCCCACCGGTCTCCAGACAGTAGCAACCAATGGTGCTTACCATGTACAGCGCACCACCCACCGCTTGCCACGCAACGGCAGCCGAACCACACATCATGTCGGCCGTGGTCGTCACGTCGAGCAAAGCTTTGGTGAAGAAGGTCTTATGCAGAAGAACCTGCGCCGAAAGCCATGGAATCTCGAAAGGTTTACTTCGAAAAAACATGCGAGCTGTGAATGCCGTGTTTGCGTTCTATGACTTCTTTACAAGTCATCGCTTCAGTTATTGGCACTGGATTTCAGCACACAAACATATCAAGGGCTTGCTGACACACACGGGCCGACCAGTAAGCATGGAATGCTGATTCTGCACTCCTCCTTGATGCAATTGTAAGAGTCGCATCACTCAGAAAATTTGTTGGCCTCCATTTTCTCACGCAACATCTGCGCAGCGTCACCTGCTAAAGTGCAGAGAAGTCGTTGCCTGGACCATTCCATCAATTGTCAGGCGTGATGATTTCAACTTGCAGCTTTCCTTTCGTCAGACGCCTTCAAACGCGCTTCAAGCATCTCTTGAACCCTTCCTACAGACCAAGCACTGCTCATGTCCAACGAAAATCCGTAGTAGCACTGGATGTCAATGTTCGGTCCGACAACCAACCAAGACTTCTTTCAGTCGTAAGCACCAGCTGAAACTGAGGCACCTGAATCAAAGTGGAATTTGGTGCAGAGGAATGGTACTTGGAAATCTGCTTCCCATTACAGCGCGGTACGTATCGTAGGTTGCTTTCACTGCAAAGCTCACTGCACGGAATTTGCATCTCGGAAGGTGTGTGCCGTGCGTGTAATGGCTTGAAGGAAAACCAACCTCTGGGACCATTACACCGTTTTGGCGCGGGAGAGAGTGTTCCAGCGTGAGACAAGAATTCCGTCGGACGTTTTGGAATCATTCAAAGAAGATTTTATTCACGTTCCGTAAAGGCCGTTTCTGCTGTTTTACAAGATAACTGTGGGGGTACTCTAATGTGTCCTACGTTTTTTGTTGTTTTCCAGACCCCGAAAATGGCCTCACACGATAGAACAACTTTTGGACTTGTTTGTACCGCACATTTTAAAACCTTCCAGACCCCCACTCCCCCCAAATTCAATGTTGACATAGAGGCGGCCAATGACAACATTGCAGCACACATTGAAATTGAGGGGGCGGGGGGGAGGTTTCTGAGTTTGATAACAAGCAGACTGTCAATGACCGACTGCTGCTGTACTCGATAAAAACCCTAAGTCCTTCGTAACACAAACATATTTTTGTTTCACATACAATCATTTCGACGCTATTTCGGGCACTCCTCCTTACACGTCTTGTTATAAATCCTCCCCGAAGCCCTGGGTGGCAAATCTTTCCCTAAACCCTCGCATTGCCAAGGCTCCTAAACCTGTACATAGACTACCCTACAATATTTTGTACAGGCTCTTCCACATGTTTGCCTGCAGATCCTCCCAAAGCGTGCCTTGCAGATGCTGCTCTAAACTTTGAAACCCTGCAAAACGCAAAATTGCATTGCCAAGGGTCCCCTAAGCTCTTCCCTGTAAATACTACCCTGATGTCTTCCTTGTATGCTCCTCCAAGCGCTTGCTTGCAGACCCTCTCCCAAACCCTGCCTTGCAGATTCTGCCCTAAACTCTGCCTTGCAGATCCTTGCCTAAACCCCCCTTTGCAATCCAAACCCTGCCCCGCAGATCACTCCCTAATGCCTCCTATTGCACAAATTCCTATTCTTCGCGCCCACTTGGGGTCTTTTGAAGCTCCGCCTGGCATAGAGCCCGAATAGTGCCCGAATAGTGCCGGAAATAGTGCCCGAAATAGTGCCCGAATGAACCCTTCATAGTGCCCAAATACTTTTTCTTTTGTAAAGGAAGGAAAAATCACCTTTTTTTCACGGAAAATCATTTGGGCACTATGAAGGGTTCATTCGGGCACTATTTCGGGCACTATTTCCGGCACTATTCGGGCACTACTTGAAGGCATCCAGACCGTACAAGGTAGGTAGGCCTGCAAGCTGTTGGCGTTGCTTCCAAGGCAAAGGAACCCCTCACGGACTTGTTGCCCCGGTTGGGCACGAGCTCGGGCAACACTTCGCGCAATGTTCATGCACGGCAGCATTTGCCAAGTCCCTCCCAACAGCTTTCCAAGCCTTACAGCCTCCGCCCAAGGCTTCCCAACCCTGCAACACTTTCGACGAGCTTCATGAGCCCATTTTTCGGGGCCCCAAAAACACCAAAAAACGTAGGACACATCAGAGTACCCCCACAGTGGCAAACAGCGGTGCTTAAAAAACACAAGCCCATTACCGGGGGCTTGCTACTGCGCGGAGCATTTCGGTTGATTTCACAACATGCGGTCGCTCTAGACACTGGTCGCCGCAGGTCGGGCAAAACTTTGGTAAAGCTTCAAACTTGCCGGCAGAATGCCGCAGTTTTTTGAGCTCTGGTTGGTCCTAATTTTGAGGCCAAAAAACTGGTTCCCAAAACTGACCGTCTGATTGGAAACTATTGGTCGCTTGAGACTGTTGACCAATGATGTAACATGACAACTACTTTTCAGAAATGCTACCACATTTTAAAACCTTCCAGACCCCCACTCCCCCCAAATTCAATGTTGACATAGAGGCGGCCAATGACAACATTGCAGCACACATTGAAATTGAGGGAGCGGGGGGAAGGTTTCTGAGTTTTGATAACAAGCAGACTGTCAATGACCGACTGCTGCTGTACTCGATAAACTAAGTCCCTCGCAACACAAACATATTTTTGTTTCACATACAATCATTTCGACGCTATTTCGGGCACTCCTCCTTACACGTCTTGATAAATCCTCCCCGAAGCCCGGGTGGCAAATCTTTCCCTAAACCCTCGCATTGCCAAGGCTCCTAAACCTGTACCCTACAATATTTTGCACAGGCTCTTCCACATGTTTGCCCGCAGATCCTCCCAAAGCGTGCCTTGCATAAATACTCCCCTGATGCCTTCCTTGTCTGCTCCTCCAAGCGCTTGCTTGCAGACCCTCTCCCAAACCCTGCCTTGCAGATTCTGCCCTAAACTCTGCCTTGCAGATCCTTGCCTAAACCCCCCTTTGCAATCCAAACCCTGCCCCGCAGATCACTCCCTAATGCCTCCTATTGCACAAATTCCTATTCTCGCCCACTTGGGGTCTTTTGAAGCTCCGCCTGGCATAGAGCCCGAATAGTGCCCGAATAGTGCCGGAAATAGTGCCCGAAATAGTGCCCGAATGAACCCTTCATGGTGCCCAAATTTTTTCTTTTGTAAAGGAAGGAAAAATCACCTTTTTTTCATGGACTATTCGGGCACTACTTGAAGACATCCAGACCGTACAAGGTAGGCCTGCAAGCTGTTGGCGTTGCTTCCAAGGCAAAGGAACCCCTCACGGACTTGTTGCCCCGGTTGGACACGAGTTCGGGCAACACTTCGCGCAATGTTCATGCACCGCAGCATTTGCCAAGTCCCTTCCAACAGCTTTCCAAGCCTTACAGCCTCCGCCCAAGGCTTCCCAACCCTGCAACACTTCGACGAGCTTCATGAGCCCATTTTCGGGCCCCAAAAACACCAAAAAATGTGGGACACATCAGAGTACCTCCACAGAAATCGGGTGTAATGGTGTACAGAGACACACACTCCGCGGTGGAGGAAATTGCAGAGTTTGCTATTTCTCCAATTGTCTTGAAGACCGTGATGAGCGCTTACACTAGAGATGCTTTTTGGGCATCCTTGAAGAAGTGCGTGTTGCTCTGATTGCACTGTTGCTGTTTTCCGCCGACCCTCGCTTCGCTCGTGCCGGTGGGAACAGGCCAAGGGGCAGAGTGGCTGTGCACTGCTGTTTGAGTGAGTACCTGAGAAGTGTTAGGACAGTTGCATGTCATTCCTCCTTTGTTCAGCAAAGTTGAGACGGAATTTGCTGCGCGAGAACACTTCGGTGTTTGGCTCAAGCGTGGAGTGAAAAGAGACTTGCTCTGCGTTTTTCACATGGTAGCGGAGCGCTGAGTGCGTTCCTAGTGAAAAGTTTTGGTCCAGGACCAGCGCCTGAAGGTGCTCAGCAGGAAGCAAATCCGTTTGCTCCTGTCCAAGGTCCGGCTCCTGCTCCTCCGCAAGCAGCACAGCCTTCTGTACCAGCAGTGGGTTCGCCATCTGGTGCTACTGTGCCTCCTGTGCAAAGTCTAAAGGCGTCGGCTCCACCTGTTCAGAGTCCGAAGGCTGCTGCTCCGAGTAGCAGCTCAGGCTGAAAGAGGCTTTGGGCCTCTTCATCCCCCCTTATATTAGTCGAACAAATTCGTTTCCAGGAAGCTTTCAAGAAGGCACGCAATAAGCGACACAGTTCTGCAATAGATTGATAGTCCTAACGTCCCAATAAGCGGAACAACTGTGCCAGAGATTGTCCTTCCTAACGCGCCAATAAGCGAAACAATTCTGCAGGAGATTTTCCTTCCTAACGCCCCAATAAGCGAAACAACTCTGCAAGCATTTCTCTTTGCCAACCCTTCATAAACGAAACACAAACTCTTTTCGAGCACGTCTGAGCTCTGGACACCTTCGTCGAGGTGCAAGAAGCTCCTCCTGAACAGGTCTGAGCTCTCAGGGATCACTTCCCCAACCTTGAAGGATTCCAACTCTTCCAACTCAAGCTTCATTGATGCGTAAAGGAGATCGGGTTCTAGCTTCTCTCCCGAAGTCTCAGACACAGCGTTCTGGGGAACAGCACACCTTATCTTCGTACCCCCAAACTTCAAATCAAACGACTTTGCAACTGCAGTGGAGGTGGCTCGAAGGTCAGGCCCTCGAAACAGGGACTCAAGATAGTGATTCGTGAGCCAGTCTATTTCCATATCCCCCTCATCGTTCACAACCTCCTGGTTCTCAGGCGCTTCCGACGGAGAATAGTCAGCAAGCTCATCTTCAATCATCTCTTCATCACCATCTTCATCCATTCCCACACCAGCCCCCTCATCAGGAGCATCATCACCAGGAGCCTCCAACGGATCAAACAGTATGGGCCTCTCGGGGTCCTCAGTGTCCTGCAGAAGAGGCTTAGCTAAAGATAGCTCTTCCAGGGTCTTGGCATCGTAGATGTCACCTCCCTGGATCATTCTGGCGACGGGGAATATATCTATTTCCCTGCTTCCGACAGGGACGGCAAAGATGCCGCCACCTTTGGCGTGCACCGGTCCCAGATAAACCGCTTTCACGGTCCGGGCGCCCCTGAACTTATCATGGTGCGCCTTGGACTTACTGACCTGAGCTTGAACCAGACACCCGAACGGTCTCGTCCGAGTTCGGTTCACAATCTCCTCATGCAGTCGGTCTATGCTAGTGCTCGAATCCCCGGCGCTAGTACACCAGAGGTTATAGCACCTAGCAACATAGAAAACACAGGCTTGCCAAAGCAAACCTCCCAAAGGTAACTGATACTTCCCAAGCTCAACGGCTTCCGTTTCCTGCTTCACCTTAGCAACCTCTTTCTCCAGGTCCATCCAAACAGACCAGAAACCCTGCTTCATAGTTTCAACCTGCCTCTCAATCGATCCTTTCGACTGGGGCCGATACCCCGGAACCACGTCAATCAATGTTGCGCTGGCAGGGCTGCTATCGCACTTGGTGAGTTTCTCGGCAAGGGCTCCAAGAGCCGCTTCTTGGTCCATCCGAAATGTAACCGCTTTACCGACTAATCCCATTTCGCGAATCACACGGTTGATGTTGTGGAGCAGGTCAGGGTCATCGAGGTGCATCGCAGGAAGAGAGACAGTATACTTAGAACCGAGGTGCATCATCAAGAGTACCCTCAGTTTTCCGAAATAGAAGAAATCAAGACCGATGGTCTGGTTCTCTCTCTGCAGCTTCCTCCTCAAGCGATGCGCCGGAACGCGCCCTTTCGAAGAACAACACGCTTCACAATTGGCATCAAACGGAAAATGCCCTCGGCTCCGATGATTATACAACGAAACAGAAGAAAGAGGAACCCTCAGGTCCTCCTCGTCCTCAGGTCCAACCGGGTCGTCAGGTGGTGTTGGACCCTTTTCTTTTCGAGGTTTCTTGGAAGAGCCAGGGGCAGATCCTAATGGTTCAGGGTCCTCATCAAAGATTCCTTCAGGATCTAAAGGATTACGACTCGAAGCTTCAGGTTTTGAGGAAGTTGCGGGAGCAGGTCTTGAGGAAGGTTCGGGGTCTAAGTCAAACGGATCAGAACGTGTACCGGTCCCCGGCGACGGTAAACCTCTAAAGCGCACGGCTCGGAGCACGTGCTCAACTTGTTCCGTCTTCTTTGCCGGGGCCGGTTCATCATCTCCGGCACAAAGCATGCCAACCATGCCGCAACATGCGCACTTTAAGTTTTCACAGACATGCTCACAAACGCGCTGCCCAAAACCTTTCACCTCACGACTCAAAAGAAGTTTCCTACTCACCTCGACGCGGGCCCAACGGTCCCGCAGCTTAATCCTCAAGTAGCTTCCGCGTTTTCTAGAAAACACCCTATAGAACTTTCGTGGCCTCTTTCGCGAAACCACTTTTCTGAAACACCGAAGTAACCATGAAGAAACCCACAAAGCTATACCACAGAAGAGGCTGTAGACCGTCAGGAGAAGCACGATGATACCAAGATCCAGTCCTGGCGTGAAACCATTCCTGAAAGCGGCCGTGGTTTTAAAGGTGCGGGTTTTGAAGGTAGGAGGGTTCGAGGTGCGTTGTGTTGGTTTTCGAGCACAAGCAACATGCCACAGATCATGCCAACGCTCATGCCACACAACATGCTGCTGCAAAACGTGCTGCTGCAAAGTGTGCTGCTGCAAAGCGTGCTGTTGCAAAGCGTGCTGCTGCAAAGCGTGCTCTCCGGAAAAATCTTTTGAACTCCAACCCCTCGGTGCGGATCGCCGCAGAATCAATCCTCCAAGAGCCTCTGGCCCTCTTCTAGGATCTGCCTCGCCTGCGCAGTCACTTGACTGTGGCTGAAAGATGGCGGGCTGAGCACAAATGCCCGTTCCTGGGCAGTCTGTCCTGTGGCGGAAGCACTCAGAGCCCTCGGAGGCGTTGGTAGGCGAGATCTTGGTGGAACAGACGGAGGGATGTTCACTCCGTGCCTTTGATAGTCCTCTCTCTGCATCCCCTCCGGAAGCATGGGTGCCGAAACCCTCGGGAGGTTGAATGCAGTAGCAACCAGTTCTCCTTGTGCCACCGAGGACGGAGCCGGGCTCGGCGGTGCCGGCCCAGGAGCCTGTCCCGCCTCTGCGGGCTGATTTCCCTCGTCGGCCCCAACAAAGCCATCCAATTGGGACAGCCTCTGCCCTGTAAGTTCTTCCAATCTGATAAATCTTCTTGGCCCTGGGCCCTGTTCAGCGCCGTAACTTCTCCTTCTCCAAGGAGCAAGGATTCCTCGTCGGAGCTCGAAGAGGAGGTGTCCACAACACCTACGCCCTCCATCCCTGAGCCCTGAGGGATCGCTGCCGATTTGGCCCTTGCCGCTCGCATGGATTCCCGGGCCTCGTGGAGGCGCTCCTGCTCCCGTTTTCGTCTGTAATATCGGGCAACACGGAGATATATGCCTGAGTCTAGGTATGCCCAAGCCGTTTTGAGCTCGAGCGAGGTGACCGACTGGGGCACCTTTACGAGCAGACTCGACCGCGCTCCCACCAGTCCCCTGTATCCAGCAGGCGTAGCCAGATAGGTTTGCAATACAGCTCGACAATGGAAGAGATAGTGTAAGATAGATACAGGGTTGGGTTCCTGGAACCTTCGTTTCCACGCCGCCCGAGCGGCCCTTGGAGCCTCCAGAAGTTCGGTAACCCTGACTGCGAACACCACGTCCTCCATATGAAGCCCGTACTCTGCTAGGCTCTTGCCCTCTAGGCAACGTCCCAACCAAACCTCCCACTCCTGCTGCCCAATGATACATTGGGCTTCCGATTCCACCATCTTCGGCCTCGAAACCCTCAATGGTTCCTCTGGATAGGCCGCTGTCACCGGAATCACTGGAGTGGCTGGTAACCAAGCAGCTGGATGCTCTAGGTCGGGCAGGCCTATCGGACCGAGCATCGTTGCCGTCGGAGAGCAAAGTGCTCTCAAGGCGTGGCCTGGAGCACAGAACGCCAGGGATGGGGCATCGTAGGCATCGTTCATGTTCGCTGGAATACCCGCCAATAGGCTCGGTAGAGTCGACCGAGACCTTTGCAATGCCTAGTGTTTCCGCCGCCTCCCATCTGCGGCCAGCCTCCAGCCTCAACGCTCGCAGGATGAGTTGGGTTCCCACATCCATCTGAAGAGCACCAAACGGGCTCAGCGAGCCCGGCGAGATGTTCGCCGGGATTCCAACCCGCGGGGGCGTAGGCCCCTCGACCTCTGAAGGAACCCCAGCGCGCAGGCGCTTCGAGGGATTCGGCCACTCGGGGCCCCAACTCTCCTCCCCTTCGCTCTCTGAGAACAAAGGGCTCTCTGCAATATCCGCCTTCGGCGAACTCCTCGCAGTATCCTCCTCCACAGGGCTTCCAGCCGCATCTGCCTGCGAAGGGCCATCTGCAGAATCCGCCAGCAACGGGCTCTCCGCTGCTTCCGTCACCACTGGCGACGGGTAGACAGCCACCGGCGACGATGGTCCCCCACCCGGCGGCTCGACCCCCGGTAGTTCGAAAGAGGGGCTCTCCAAAGCTGGTGGAGTAGGCGGTTTCCCAGGAGAGCCTGGGCTGCTCACAGCCAGGCTCGGGGTGAATTCGTCCCCACTCATAGCACTCATGGTGAGAAACGGCTGCAGAAGCATTCAAACCGACCATGCAACTCATGCACAGCGCTTGCAGCAGGCTGCCGATCCTAGAAAACATGCGGAAATCCCTGGGCACCTTGGGTACTTTCGACCTTTTCACCCTCTTGTGGCTGAAGGGTCTGTCTTCTCTACTTTCCATCAAGCAAGACCCAACCGCCATCGGCATCGCTCTCAGCATAGCTCGAATCTGGAACTTCGCTGTCGTGGGCACGTAGCCATTGCAACCCAGACCAATGTTGAATGCAGGCCCAACAATAATGATGGGTGTGAGCAGGTTTGCGTCTGATGCAGAGCTGCTTTCCGCACACCTCGCACCGGTGCTCGCATTCTTGCTTTGATCCGCCCAGATAGTTTCCCATAGCAGGAAAAAGAGGCGTATGCCGAGTCGTTCTGCAAAAACCGTAAGGGTAACAGCCCGCTTGAGCAATCGCAAAATCATGGAAACACATGCCCAAAACATGCAAAGCACCATGCCAACATGCGACTGTTTCCTAAAATCAAGCGACATGCCAACATGCGACTGTTTCCTAAAATCAAGCGCCGTGCACTGCCTAAAGTCACTAGACTCTTCTAGAAAATCACAAAGCTCAATCTCCCGTGGTGCAGGCGCTCTTGGAGCAACTTCCGCCCTAAGACCCCGAAGCAGAAACCCAAAAGGAGTGGCAGCCAAAGCGTGGCGGCCAGACTCGTCTTCTTCCGAAGTCTTTCTTCCTTTCTTCAGGATTCCTTCTCCAGGCTTCTGGGGTCCTGCGGTGGACTCCTTGCTCGATCCTAGCAGGTCGCGGTCCTTCAAGGCATCTATCTCCATGTCCTCGATCCCTTTCGGGGGGCGTCTGGAAGAATTTTCTTTCCCCCTGCCCTTGGACCTCCCGCTCAGAGCCCACCAGGCACGCGAAGCGCCCATCAGCTTGATGCTCTTCTTTCCGTTTCCTTTGTACAATCGTGATCCCGATTTGGCTAGATAGGTTTTCCAGCCCCGTTCCGACCCGGTCCAAGGCGAAACAACGTTGAACCCAACATCCGCCACCAAGACCTCTTCCAGTCTCAGGAAAACATCTCCAAAATGAACCTCAAGGTCGACAACCCCCGAAACGACGATCGCACCACCCGAGGCGTTGAACAGATTGGCCGTTCGGTCGTACTTCTTAACAACACGAAATCCTGAGAGATGTTTGTCAGAAACAATGTGGCAGGTGGCTCCACTATCAACGAGCCACAAGTCCCCAGGAGTAGTCTCGAGGGCCTTGCAGACATGAGCTACGTCGCCGTGCTTCAACACACGGGATCCTAAGGAGCCCATAGACTCAGAACCTCGACTCTCAGACCTAGGCGACCCTTCGGGTCCTGAACCCGGCTTCGGAACTACAAGGGCGGACGGCTCAGGTCTCTCAGGCTGGCTCAGAACACGGCGTTCCGAAGAAGAGGGCTCCGAAGAACCACGCCCAGGACAGGAAAACCTCATCGCCATCACTGTGGCGCTTCCTCCCGACTCGGCCTCGGACTCCGGCTCTGTCAAGGAGCGTCCCTTTCCAGGCTGTCCCTTCTTCTTTTTCTTCTGCTTCTTGCCTTTGTCCTTTCCTTTGTCGCCTTTTCCTCTGTCGCCCTTGCCCTTCTCGGAACCACGGGGCGTGCCAGATCCCTTGGGAGTCTGGTCGCCTTTGCCTTTCGGCTTTCCTTTGTCTCCTTTCCCTTTGCCCTTCGGAGCACCACCGCGTTCTTCCTTTTGGCGCTGCCAACACTTGTCGGCTGTGTGTCCCTTCTTCCCGCAGTAGTCGCAAAGCTTCTCCTGCAAGGCTCGGCCCGAAGACCCAGGGGCCTCACACAGTCGCAGCTGCTCCTCGTAGTAAGTCAGCGTCCTTCGAAGAGCTTCCCAGTTCGAGCTAGACCCGTGCAGTACCACGTACTGACGCACTTCTGCACCCAAGCTCTGTAAAAGAACAGAGCAACGGTCCGCCTCAGACAACTGAAGCTCCGGAAAGTTGCTCAGCTTCGCTTCAGACTTCGAAAACGAATCCTCAAGATGTCGAATCAAGTCGGTGGGCCTCTTCAGATGCCCAACGTGCTGGTACAACTTCAAAGCCTGTTCTCTCACGAAGACAGCTTCCATCCGCGACACGATGGAGTACTGAGAGGTAATCGTTCTAATCACCTCGTAGCCGCAGGCGCTCTGCCCCTGCCTCTTCGAGCAGGACCTCAAGAGCTCGCTTCCCCGCTCCCACTTGGCGAGGGACTGAGTCAAGTAGTAGAACAGCTTGGAGCTCCGCGCTGCAGTGTCAGGATTCAAGTCAGCCTGCAGAATCTCCTTCTTCACAGGGATACAGAGCTGCAGTTCCCGAACAAACGCTTCTTCCTGCAGGGCAAGCCAGGAACTCAGCGTCTCCATAAAGGAGTGCCAAGTCTCTACCTCCTTCATGCGCCCTTTCCCCATGCCTTGATGGTCTATCACCGGAAGGTTCGGCAGATACTTCTCTGCACGGCCTCCAGCACCAGAGTACCCAGAGGGAGACGGAACTGCCGGAGAAACTGCCGAACTCGCGGCAGAACTGCTCGCGGGAGCAGTGCTCGGCTGGAAGAGGTCCCGAGTCTTAGCTGCCTCTGCTGCCTGCTTGGCCGCTTCAGCTGCCTCGTGAACTTTCTCTTCCGCGTTCCTTCTCTCTTCCTCCAGATCCATTCTCCGGAGCATCGTCGCAACGAGCTGCTGGTTCATTGCCATCATCTCTCTCTGCTGACGAAGCAATTCCATCATGAATCCAGGCATCTGCTCAGGCGTAAAACCTGCAGAACCAGCGCGAAGCTCGCCGTCTTGCTAAGGAAAACGGCAGGCGAGTTTTGACTAGCAGGTGGGTCAACACGGTCAAGAAGAAGGGACTGTATAGATCTAGGCTAGTCGTGCGGGATTATGCCTCTATGGGAGGCACCACCTTGAGTGAGGGAATCTACTCTCCTACTACTTCATTGGAGGGTCTGAGATTGCTTCTGTCAATGCTCTGCCGACGTGGCAGTGTGTTGTCCTGCGATGTTTCGGTAGCGTTCATGCATGCTCCCGTAGCGAGGGCAGAATTCGTAGAGTTGCCGAATAATGTGAGCACCCAGGGGACTGGGGAACGAGTTTTCGTCAAATTGCGTAAAGCGATGAACGGATTGCGCTCTGCTCCATTATCTTGGTATTGCGAGTTGGCTGAATACTTGCGGTTTGGACCCCACTATATTCCGTCGTCTTACGAGGAAAGGTTTGACGATTGTGTTGTTTTATGTGGATGACTTGCTGATCTATAGTGAAGATGAAGCTGAGGGGCGCCGGTTCTATGAGGAGTTGCGTAAGAGATACAAACTGAAACTTACGGGCGAGTTGCTTCAAGATTGGCCCGGGGAAGTCTCGTTTCTCGGTCGGCGGATCTTTCGCCGTAAGAAAGGGGAACGTACGGTGTATTTCGGGCTAGACGAACAGTACCTGAGTTCCTGTTGCGAGGAGTACGGAATCACCAAACCTGCACCAAAGCTCCTTCCCTTGAACGCCGCTATGCTGAGTTGCTGAAGAAAGGCCAGACTGAGCTGATCAGTCCAGCTGCTCACGAAAGGTACAGAAGGACTCTGGGCCGTTTGGCCTGGGCGGCTCTGTCACGACCAGACCTGCAGTTTGTGTGTGGGTTTCTGGGCCGCCACCAAGCAGCTCCTGACGAGGCTGCCGAGACCTGTATGAGGGATGTCCTTCGTTGGGTCAAGGGTCTTCCGCACAAGGTCCAGAGGTTTCCGAGCAAAAGGGAGATCTTGGAAGATGATGCGGACCCTGCCTCTGTATCTTGTTTTACGGACGCGAGCTGGAGTCTGAATTCGGTAAGCGGCGGGATCATCACGTGGGAGAACTGTTCCCTGAAAAGCTTCAGCAGGAAACAAACGACTACCGCACTCCAGTGCGGAAGCAGAACTCGCTGCACTCACAGAGGTTGCTCGTGAAGGGTTGTACATTGCTTTGCTTGTGGAGACCATCCGCGAGGGTATGCCGAAAGACAGGGAAACCGGTTATTATGTTCTTAAGGGATATTCTGATTCCGAATCGGCGGTTTGTATATCGAAGATGCAGACCCTCCTGAGGAAAGTGAGGCACATCGAACTGCGTGCCGCATTCCTTCAGGAGCTGGTGGCCAGGGGTCGTTTTACCATAGAACACATACCGGGAGTGATAAACCCTGCGGACGCCCTCACGAAGAGCCCCACCAACGAAAGTTTGTCTAGCTTGTACGATGCCTCTGGCCTTGTAGATGAACCGAAGGCCTGGGAGAGTGAGCCTACTGAGGTGCACGTGTCTTTTGAAGAGCCCAATGAAAACGAACGTTTTACTCCGTCTGTTCCGCCTTCCTGGAAAGCCGCTGCTTTGAAGCTAGCTCGTGGTGAAGCTAAGTACGTAGTGGTTGAACTGTGTTGTGAAGAAGGAAGTGCGTTGTCCAAAGCCTGCTCGAAGGTCCCCGAGATCGCCTACTTTGGGGTGACTAAGGAAGTTGATCTTCTGAGCTATAATGGCTTGTGTCTTCTGAGAGAGGTTTTCGGAGTCGTAGCTGAGGGTGAGGTTAAGGTATATGCTCACTTGTCTACTCCGTGCTCTGCTGGGTGTGGTTTAAGGCACCTGAGGTTTAAGAAGGGAGGAAAGGCCCTGGAGAAGTGGAGAGCGGCTCTGGCCGTTCACAAGAGGTCCTGGAAAAGGATCGAGAAGCTGTTGGAGCCTTACGTGGGCTCCCCGAACCTTCTGCTTTCTCACGAGTGGCCTGAGAGGTCAGGACTGTGGGATGAGACTGTGTTTAAGAGGGTTTCTAAGAAGCTTCGTTTGGATCAGGGTTGCCTTGTGGATCGTTGTTGCTTTGAAAAGGGTGACCAACGACCTTGGAAAAGATGGTGGTTTGTGTCTAACCGCACAGAGTTTGTGTGGGGACTTTCGTCTCAGTGCTCTGAGGGACACGGTCACTACTACCTTCCTCTTCCTGAATCAGGTGTGTATCCAGAGGGTTTAGGATTCGCTCTCCTGAAGAACGCGAAGAAGACTTTTGAGGAGAAGTGAAGAGGACTCTCGGGCATGAGGGGTGTGAAAAGTTTTGCTCTTTGGCTCAAGTTTTCGGCTCAGACTTTGCAGTGCCGTCGTGGCCTTTTAGCCTTGGGACCCACTTTGTCTAGAGGCTTCAAAGAGTCCCCAAACCCAACCTGGTAAAGGTCGTAGGCCTGACAGCAGGCAAGGGTTTGGTGGGCGGCCCGGTAGGCTGTTTACTGCACGTTCTGAGTGAGGTCGATCCTCCTCTTGCCGAGTGCACTTCTAGAGCTTGGAAGTGGCCACCACTCCTTGCTTGCTTTCCACAGCCACTACTTCTGGTAGTGGTTTCCACACCAGCTCGCAGCCATGCCGCGCACTCCCAAGTGGATCCCGTGCGCCTGTGGGTACCACTGGGCCTGGAAACGCCAGGTCGAGTCAGGGGAAAATACTCACTGTGCGTACTGCGGCAGAAACTGGCAGAAGCAGCTGAACAAGCAGCAAGCAAGCAAGGAAGCCCGTGCCGAGCACTCCCAGAGCCCCTGCGCTGTCAGGGAGGAAGGTCGCACCAAAGGCAAGGGTAAAGGAGACGGCAAGGTTCCTAAGAGGCGGCAAAGTCGGCGCGGTCCTTGCGGGTCTGTGGAAAGACCTCCCTGAGGCTGCACAGAAAGCCTTCCAGGAGGTCGGGTACAGCCCACCTCGGCCGAAAGGGCCACCGCCTCCTCCGCCGGGATTGGACCTTCAGTCCCTTCTTAAGGGTAGGATGACTGAGAAGGAGTACAACGCTGCCAGGGCCGTGGTCTACGCGGGGGCAGGGCTCCACGTCCAGACCCTTTTGGAGGCCGCGGGAATCCCCCCTCCACCAGATGAGGACCTCGACCAGCCAGAACCCACGCCCCAGGAGAAGTTGACAAGGTGTGTCAGCGACTTCAAGAAGGCCACCAACCAGATGAAGAATCTGGTAGAGAAAAAGGCAAAAGCTTATTGGGGACGTGGACCAGGTTGATAAGGACATCATGGCCAAGGATGTCGAGATCCAGGAGACGGCCAAGGCTTTCAAAGATATGACGGCGGACTCCACCAGCACGCCCTTGAGGCGGTCCTCTCGGAGGCCGGCCATGAGCTCAATGAGGCCACCCGGGCCAAGATGAAGGCTGCCCTGGTCGGAAAGGAGGACTTCCCTGAGGACCCCTTCATTGTGAAATTCCGAGGGCATGATGAGTACTTCCCGCGGGAGATGCCCACCATGTACGGCCCTGCCCGCACCGACCCGCATGGGAAGCGTCCTACCCCTTTGGAAGGGACGAAGCCAGAGGGAGCCGCAGGCAGCGACAACCCCGAATAGGGGCGCCTTGGCCAGGGGAACCCTGCCTTCCCTCTGGCCCCTTCCGGGCCTCGGGCCCCCAGGCAGGTTTTGCAAGGGCAGCTGCCCAATCAGGCCCTTTTCCGCTCGTCTTTGGAGGTTTTGCAGGCCTACTCCAACAATCAACTTGCTCTCTCAGCGAGGGGGAGTGGCCCGCCACCCTACCTTGGCCAGGTGTCACACAAGAGTATAGTTTTTTGCAAGTTTTGCAAGTTTGATTTGCACGATCTAGGCAGCACTCACTTGTTCTGCGCGCAGTGCAAAATCTTCCATAAAACCCCGTCGGCGCTGCGTTGGGAGTCAGCGCCTGCTAGAGGTTTCATGGCGCCCGTTCAGCCTCTTCCCTTGAGGCCTAGGAACGGCCTTTTGACTAGGGGTTGTGGGTCACTTTTCTTTAACCCTGGCGCCGCAGGTTGTCCTCACGCCAACGTGTTCGGACAACCAGCGCGCCCCGCAATTCTCCAGGCTCTCTGGGCCAAAATTTTTTCCAACTGGTTGGGCCCTGGACCCTGAGCAGGAGCCCTCCGCCCCAAGTGGTACCTTGGAGGTGCTGCCAAGGGGCATCGAGGCTTCCACGGGTTCGGGGTTGACCCCACCCATTTCCCCCTCCAGGCCTGTGATCTGTCTGGCCAAGGCCCTGGACACCAGCCCGCCGCGCGGGGTTCACAGCAAGGCCCACGGCCCACGTCGGCGGCGTAAAGCGCAGCAAGACTTCCTCTGAAAACATCGCGCTGCCCACCGGCTAGGATGCAGCGACAGGCCAACTCTCTTTTCTGGCACTCCTGGCCTTCTGGTCCCGAGCCCTCCAGTGCCAGACCGAAGGAACTGAGCTCCACCCCGCCTCCTTTCCCCCCCTGTGGCCCAGGGCGGACGGTCTCCTCCGAGACTCAGGAAGCGAAGGCCTAGCTCCCGGGGGAATGGGGGCAAGCCCCTCCCAGACCTTAAGCCTGAAGAAAAGACAGTTCAGGACCTTGCTGCAGGGCTTGCGGATGATCTCAGGGCGAACAAAGAATGGAGCAAGTCGGAGCCCCAGGCTCTGGCCCTAGCTGAGGCCCTGGAAGGAGCTGACGAGGCCAGCTTGGGCTACCGGGTCTCCTACGAGATTCTCGAGGCCATGCAAGGCCACTCATGGTTGGACCCCATCACTGCCGCGGCTTTCCTGGACGACCTGGCGGCCCAGGAGTTCCAGCGGTGCCAGGAGTCCGTTGTGTTTGTTAGTGCCAACATCACCGCGTGGACTCCGGATATCCTCAAATGGCACCAGCCGCAAAAAGGGCCCCTTCTCATCCAGGAGCTGCACCTGGGAGACGAAGGTGCCAAAAAGCTGCGCATTGAGGCTTTAGCCAGAGGGTACCATACTTTCCTCCCCCCGGTTGAGGGCCCCAGACCCACGAAAGGGGGACTGGCCACACTTGTGCCCATCCATCAACAGGGCCGTTTCAGAGGAGGGTACCTCTCTGACGAAGGGATCGGCTTCTTGCTGGTCGAGCTCCCCAGGGTCCGCCATTCCCTCCTTTTGGTCAACCTGTACCTGAAATCAGGTGTTGGCATCACAGGGGCGCCCAACCCGGAAGTCCTCGCCCGTTTGAAGCCCCTCCTGCGCCAAAACTCCAACTGGATTGTGGTTGGGGACTGGAATTTCCCCTCGCAGGAACTGGCGGAGACCTCCCTGCCAGAGGCTTTCCGTGGGCGGATTGTCGCCCCTCCGGAGGCGACGATCACCACAGGCAACTGTCTTGAGTGAGGCTGTCAAGCCGACCGGCGGCCCCTACTTGGGGATTGGTCCTGTCTGCTTTGAGCGCCTCAGGGAACGCTGGGAGTTGCCTCAAGGCGACTTGGCCCCCGGGAGTGTTGAAGCAGCATTCCAGGGCAGCGTGAGGCCGGAAGGGCACTTGCCAGCTGGCTGCACAGGTCAACAAAGAAGCAACACTAGTCGAAACCAGGGCGAAATCAAACCCCCGTTGGCGGCCCAACGCTAGGGACTTTTGGGTCCGAGGTGATCCAGGGAACTCCGATCAACCGCCAATTCGCCGAACTCACCCACAGGTTTGCGGTTGAGCATTTCACCAAACCTGGTGGGCGAGGGTGCACCCGGCCCTTCGTGTACAAACCCCTCATGCAACCGAAGGAGGGCTACCCATGGCACGGCAGGGAGGCGGCCTGGTGGCAAAAGATGCAACTTGCCTGGGACAACCCAGGTACCAGCGATGCCCGCTTCGCGGCCCTTCGGCGGTTTTTCCCATCTTCGTGTACGGAGGCGTTGCAGGCTAAACTTGAGAGTGCCGGCATCTCTGGCCCCCGCCCGGAAGATGCGATCTGCAACGGGAAAACCAAAGGGGACTCCCGTGCTGGGATCCGCGCGGTTGTCAGGAGTATGTGCCAGGCCGCCATCGAGGAGGCCAGGTCCCGAGAGACACGGGACTACCAGGAGTGGCTGACTGGGGCCTCCGTGAAAGGCCTCCGGCCGCTCTTCCGCACGGTCAAAAAGCAGGAGGCTGAGGTTGCCCGCCCTTTCATGGACGAACCGGCCGAGGCCCGGCCTTACCTCAGGCTTCAGCAGTGGGCTCGCCTCTGGGAGTCGAAGGGCCAGCCTCCCTCCCATCCAGGGCCTTAAAGAACGGGCCATTGCGCAAGCCAAGGAACTCCCGGCCGTTACTGGGGAGGAGTTCCAGCGGCTCATTCGTCGCCTGCCCCTGAAAGCGGCAGGCGTGGACGGCTGGTCCCTGGAACTGCTCAAAGCCTTGACCCCGGGTGAGGTTTCCTCCCTTGCCTCCTTCTGGAGGGAAATTGAAACCACGGGAGAGGTGCCACAGCAGATGACATTCACCATCTTTACGATGCTCGCGAAAAACGAGAAGATCGAAAGACCGATTGGCTTGATGTCTTCGCTCCTGAAGCTAGGGATGAAGGCAAGATGGCACCTAGTTGAGGCGTGGCTTCGCGACTACCGCGCTGAGCTTTGGTGGGACTGCGCTTTGCCAGAGCGCTCCACCTACGATGCCTCCCTCCGGAGAGGCGTCTGCTACGAAGCCGCGCGCGTCGACGGTCTGCATCGGTGCTCTTTGTTTGTCGACTTGAGTACCTTTTATGAGACTGTGGTTCACTCCACTCTCTGTGACGCCGCGCACACTGCCGGATTCCCGGATCTTTTGCTTTTCCTTGCTATGGAATCGTATCGCGGCGGCAGAGTGATCCTTTCCGACGAAGTCGCGTCGCCCGTTGCTTTCGCTCGCCGCGGAATTATAGCGGGCTGCCCATTAGCCCCTACCCTGAGCAAACTCGCTGTGGGCGAGCCGATTCGGCAGTGTTGCTCTGGACCGCATGTAGATACGTGGATAGACGACATCACGGTAGATACTGAACATCACAGCCCGGACCAAGCAGCGAACTCCGCCATCTTGGTTTTCCGACGGCTTCATGCCTCGCTCTCCGACGCCGGGTACCAGGTATCTATTGGCAAGACCTATTTCCTGGCGAGCAGTCCCCAAGCCGAGCGCGCCCTGCGGAGAAAGTTGGGTGAGGGTGACCCCCATTCAGAGTGTTGCCAAAGACCTGGGCATGACGCTGTCAGCTGGCAGGAGACGGTGCACCCGCCTCTCCACTGCGCGTCGGACTAAAGCCAATGCCAGACTGGGCAAGCTACGCAGCCTTAAGGTCCGCAACATCAAGGCCAGCAGCCGGGTTTTTTCCATGTCCGTGCTGGCATCGGGGATCTGGGGACACCAGGCCCAAGGGGTGAGTCCCAAAACCATGAAATCGGTGCGACTCCAAGCTGCCGGCATCACTGGCAAGGTTGGCACGGGCAGCGTTGAAATTGCGCTGGAACTTGGCGCCTGGCTGGTCAAGGACCCCCGTGTGTCTGTGGTCACCCAGCACTTTAAGGCTCTGTGTCGGGTGATGGTGTGCCTCCCTGACCGAGCGCAGCTGGACCGCACGTGGGCGCAGCTCACTACCCAGCTCCGACGGAAAGACAGATGGCGAGTGGTCTGCGGACCGCTGGGGGCCATGATAGCCTATCTGTTGGATCTCGGGCTTGTGGCTCCCACCCCGGACCGTTGGCTCTTCCCCGCCGACCTGTGTCCTGCTACCATGGCACAAAACCCGGATGACCCAGGGATGGTGGCCCTCAACCCCCTTCTGCGGAGGCACTGGCTTGCCACAAGGCTGCAGCAGCCTGGCCTCTGGTGTGGACACAACGGTTCCCACAGCCCTTGTGAAAAAGGCCCCTCGGACTAAGTCTGCCGCCCTGAGAATGGCCTGGCGGGAGCTTTGAAAAACCGGTATGTCCAGGCAGGCCAGCAATGCCCACTCTGCCAGGTGCCTCTCACCCAGCACCACGTTGCCACGGAATGCAGATGGTGGCATGGTAAGGCCCCCCCTCCTCCCAAGCATTGGGAACGCCTCACCACCCAGTTCCCCTTCGACTGCTTATGGGAACGAGGCCTCATGCCGGCTCAGGCCACCCAGATCCAGGGGTACAGATGGGGCCCACCGTCGGAACGGGCCGATGGAGTCTGCAAAGACGCCAAGTGGCCTAAGGGGCTTTTCTATTCGACGGACGCTTCTGGCGGGCCCTATGCGGCAGATGCCAGGGGCAGGATAGTGGCCTGGGCCATCTGCGCTTTCACCTGGACTGAGGGTGCCCCTCTCCAGGTTGGCCAACTCACAGGCATCCTCCCTCCGGGGAGTTCTGTGTGCGAAGGGGAATGCTTCGCGGTTGCACGCCTCGCTTCGCATTTGGAGGAGCGGGCAGATTGCACTTCCGACTGCAGTGCGATGGCCAAACAGCAGTCACGCGCTGTAAAGCCTTGGGTCTGGGCTCAGGCCCTGGATAACGCGTCTCTGGCGCAAGTCACGTGGACCAGGTCCCACACCACAGTGGCTGAACACGCGGCCGAATTCGGCCCTGACCAGAGCTGGCGCCGGACTATCAACGCCCAGGCTGACGCAGCGTGTGGCGAAGCTGTGTTGGCCGCAATCGCTCACTTGCCACAGTGGGATCCATCCCCTGCGGATGATTTGGCGAGAGAGGTGGCGCAGCACCTCCAACGCAAAGCCGAAGTGCTACTCCTGAGCACTGACAGACCCCCATGGGAGGCCGTCGGTGCCAGTCCGGCAAAGGGCAAGGGGTTACCCCGCCCTGACGCCAGGCTTAAGTCGAAACAGGCCAAACCCCCTCAGAGGCAGCATCGACCTGGTGAGGGTGGGGGTTTAAACAAAAAACAACGCCTGGAAGCCCTCATGGCAGGGGAAGGCCACCACGGGCATCAATTCGAGTGGAGCCACACGAACCCCAACAACCACTCCCTCATTTGTAAGGTCTGTTCTCTCTTCATCCAACAGACCCACTCAACTGAGGCCTTTCGGCGTTTGGAGGCGCAGCCGTGCGCTCATCGGCCGATGCCTGATATCGGCAGTTATGGGCTGCATGCGTCCCACTCTTTCTACTGCATGATGAGGGGTCTGCCGGCTCCCAAGGGCACCGCCAGCACTACCCAGGCCCGGCCGCTGGAAGGGAAGGAACAACCAGCCCGCTCCGAAGGCCGTGAGTCGGGCTAGCTCAGCCCAGGCCCTGCGGCACCAACCAGCTGCTTCGCAGACGGCGGGGGCCCTGCAGCCAGTCTTCACACAGCCTCCCAAGGCCCCACAACGGAAGACTAAGGGAATCTCAGGGCAACCTCACCCTCCCTCCGGTTCTTCAGACCAAGGCCCTCCGGATGCCACTCAGGTTGCGCCCAAGACCAAGGCCAAACGTGCTCGGAGCCTCCCCGAGACCGCCTCCGGGAGGCCGGTCAGATGTTTTCCCCCCGGCGCCGAAAGGGCCCGGTACGACTATTCAGCCCAGCACGCCGGCCCCTCCGGCCAACGGTAGTGGTCTCCACACCGAGACGGAGGCCGAGGCGGAGACAATTCGGCATCAAGGCTGGAAAAAGGAAAAAACTGAGAAGAGTGAGCAGACCTTTGCACCGACGTCTGCCAGCAGGACCCCTAGACCCTCAGGTTCCAAGTCCTCCGCCCAAGCCCCCCTTTTCTCAGTTCAACCCAAGGCCCCAGAGGCTCCCGTTTCTCTTGGTGTTGTTGGGGAAGGGTTAGCTGCACCCACCCCTAAGCCCAAGCCGAAGCCCAAGCCTGTTTCTCAACCTAAGCTCCGGCAGTTCTGGGCCCAAGGTGGAAAGCCTTAGGAAAACCGTAGCCTTTGTGCCCTCTTTTCCCCCCTTGCCTTACTTTAGACTGCAACTCCAGCCTCAGGCTCAGCTTTTCCCCAAGCCTCTGAAGCTCCAGTAGCTGCTGCCATGGCTCACGTGCACCCCTTGCATCCCCGGCCTTAGCCCTCTCAGGTTTTCGAGATGGGCTGGGAGTGGGAAAGGAGGTGGTGCTACCACTCCTGGAGATGGGAATGGCGAGTCGTCTGGAACCGTTCGGGGCGGACTTCTGGGACGACCCAGCCGACCAGACCGCCGGTCACAGCTCCTCAGCGGCAGCTTGTGGTGACACCGGCGGATCTGACGGGCCCACCACCAGTTGGCAGGGCTGGCAGGGCTGGTGGGAAGGGTGGCAGGAGAACCCTTCCCAAGACTGGGACTGGACCGACAAGGTAGGCGACACTGGGGCCAGCGGGTCCAGGGATGTCCCACCTGCCTCCTCTGAAGGGCGTGGTCGATCCACCCCTTCTAAAGGGAGAGGCAAGCAGCCTTCAGTCCACCGGGGAGACAAGTCCTTGGAACGGGCCTACAGGAAGCACGT